CATCGACGCCATACACACCGCTCGTCTTTTGCAGGACAAACATTGGGAGCGGAATTCTTTGCATGTAGCCTATTTAGATCTGGAGAAGGCATTTGATCGCGTTCTCGTAACGTCATATGGTTAGCCTTTACTTGCTAGATGTCCTCCGACGGAGGCCACTCACTTGTTCTTAGTTGGGGCGGCGGGCATTGCTAATGCCCCTGGATAATTCTGCTCTCCTTCATTACAGTTTACTCATTGGAGGTATATACATTCAATTCAACCCATTTCGCGAGGTGAAACGCGTAAAAAACACGAGTGACGCAATTTTCGTGATGCAAAACCACGACGCAAAAGGTGCGCTACCGTAATCACAAATTCAGACACCGTGTTGATAAAATTCCTTTTTCCTTCCCAGAGTTTTTCCTCTGCGTTTTTGTTGTTTTCTTTTTGTATTCTTTTTTGCACTGGATGATATCAACTACTGCGAGATGTGATAGAGAGATTTGTGAGCTAGGGGTTGCACAGAGACCGCAGGGAGGTGTAACTGTGAGGGAGCGATTTTGTTTATGTTGTTCTGGAGAACGCTTCTTGCCTGTTTTCTTCTTTGGGAGATTACTTATCAGCTGCTGTTTCATAATTGGAAAGCAGCTATCCATGAGACTTTTATCGCGGGAGCTGTCTTAATGAAGTCCAGTTGTAAGGAGGACAGTAGGGGATTCACCATTTGTGCATTTGTCTTCCGAGCTGTTTATTTTTTTCGATTAACTTGAGCCAATGGCACAATTTCGGTTACGCCACGTATCCACATCATAGAAAGTGCAGTAACGTTTGGACGTGTGCGCTTCTACAGCAATATGTCCCTCTGAACAAAGCCAAAGACTGTGGTTTTGTAGAAATGTTCCGATGTTCGAAGGGGCGCAGTTTGCCAATTTTTGAAAAAATCCAAAAAATCGGAACTTTTGACAAAAATCGCGAAATCCGGGATTCCGCAGTGGGCGGAGTCTCCCGTGGGGGCGGAGCCTACGAGCGAACCTACCGACACACTCGGGGCGGCGTCTGGACGAGTTTTCCGGGGCTCTTTTGGCTGCTGCGGCGGTTGGACGAGTTTTCCGCGGCGAATTTCGCGCGCGGCGGGGGTCTTTCGCGCGCGGCAAAACATGATTTGAGATCGCGGGGGGCGGCCGAACGTTGGTAGCTCTTCATGTTTCGTATATGCTCTAACTTCAGTTGGTTGGGACCCAACCTCCACAGATGAATGTACTGAAGGGTTGCGAGGTTTACAGCACGTATGTTAGTAGATTCATGTTGATAGCAATGAGAGGACGTCAACGGTAAGCGGTGGTTAATTGCGACGATTGCGTGCTAAGGAATATTGAGTCAATTGAGGTGCGGGAGAATCGTCACTATAGACGACGCCTTGTTCTCCTATTGTATGATCCCGGATTTCCTACGCATAACGCAAGAGGCAGAGGTAACCGTCGGAGTTCGGCTGGGCTTCGTAAAAGCAATGATTGCATTCTTCAAGTTTCTGCGAAGGCACGTCGATCCAAGTATGTTTCGTAAACTTGTTCCCTATTATTAACATAGAGTGTGTTGTATCTGAGCAGATGCCGGAAAACGTAGAAGAGATCTGGCAAAGGAGGCGTATAAGTGAGACATTACTTGAAGAATCCGAAACAAGAAGAACGGTCAGCTGCATCGTTCAAAGGGGTAATTCCTGCAAGGAAACCAGTGAAGGTAGCGTTCACAAGAACTTCAAACCAAGCTTATTCATTCCATTTTTGGTGCTCTCTAGGGCTACGTGGTGTATGCTGCGATGCGGGCGGTTGTTGACCACAGTGTCATCGACAGTATAATCGAAGACATAATGAAGAAATTTTCCAGGAATGCAAAAGCTCTGCTTCACGCAGAGTATAATTTCGTAATGAGGTGCGCAGATAAAGCTTTCCTAAACATAAAAGAAGAGTTGTAGTAAATACAACGTCACCGTCTTACAGCGCTCTGATAGCCTACATAATGGTTTGCAACGCCACAAGAAATGAGGTCGCCTACAAAACCATTTGTGGCAGTGTTGTGGAGGTGAATACACAATCGATGGGTCTAATCAAGCATACACAAGAGACCAAGGACTACTGGGTAGAGTTCATCTCCCTTTACACATGGGTTTATTATAAGGTGTTTTCTGGCCAGCAAATCAGATCTTTGTAGGTTGCACGCTTTCCGAACCCTAAACAGCGTACAATGTCGCGCGAACTGACGACATGCAAAAGTGGTCTTTTCGTGCTCGACAAGAAGTCGCATCGGTGGTTGCAGTACTACAGAAAACTTCGTGCTAGGTATGCCACTAC